GTAAATTAAAAATTGTTATTTTACGGTGATAATCTTATTTTCTTGTGCCCAATAATGCATAATTTCATTTGATAAACACGTTTGGATTGAATGGTAATTTATAATCAGTCACAAGAACGTCGAATCTGAATCACTTGAAAAAAACACCGGGATTCTTAACTTTTTTCCAGGTGTATATATAAAACAAAAGAAACAACAGTAATGAGAACAGAATATTTTAAACAAAAATTAATCTTACCTTTGTGTTTTACATAATGTAAAAGATATACAAAGTTAAATCTCTTATAGTCTGGTTGTAGACGGAATGAATGTAAGCTCCTTTTCAAGTCTTTTTATACATCTCTCACAGGAAGTTGACAAAGTCATGTCCTGAATTTACTCTCTATAACTAGTTATGTTCCATTATTGCCATTACATATACAACTGTTGTTTCTTTACACTATAATTATGCTTTATGAAGCTGGACCACATCCTTTTTAAACTATAATTATCTTCAATTATTGTCAATAATTGGTGTTACATCACGAGAATCTGTCATTAAATACTATAATTAGATATGGTTGATTCATGCAAAACTTGCCTATAATTGTTGTCAATAATTGGCGTCACGTCCTGTAATCATTTGTTATTTCTTTAATTTATAATTACGATATAATTGGCAGTTATGTCCTAGGGCAGTGCCGTCACTTCCGCCTCCAGAGTGCAATAATAACTAGTTAGGACTGTCTCCTTAGCTATAGTTGCATGTTTTAAAGATTTTAACTGTTGAGTCTATATAATCTCGTTCACATTGAAGATAATTACATTTATAGGCAATATTTGATAATTCAGTGTTATTGTGCTAGTTTTTACATAGTATCTATATGTACAAACATTCCACTGAACGAAGTAATAAAAATCACGTGTGACCACGTTTATAAAAACGGCTTGGCTAAGTAAAATTTTTACAATTTACTCGAGTTTGTTACCAAACAATCAAGTTTCATTTTCAGTGCCGAATTTTATGATCATATTGATGGAATTGCCATGCTGACAAGATTAGCCACCAGTTTATGAAACTTGTTCCAATGTGAAAAAGAAAATATTTGGTATATTGATGATACTTTTATAATTTTTAAAGAGGAGTCCATGTTAAGATCTTTTTGGATTACCTCAACCAACAACATAAATGTATTAAAATCATAGTAGAAAAGGTAGAAAAGCAAGCGAATTCAGATATCTTTTTAGATACTGAGATTAGAAACAAAGAAAAATGACTTGAAGTTGTTTGTTATAATAGCAATACTTTAACCAGTATATATGTTCATTTTGAAAGCTTTATTTCAAAAAGCTTTGAAAAGAAATTAGTTTTCGTTCTAAACCACACAGCTTTTTCGTTACACAATAGTGTTATGTATTATTAAAATCAAGTAATGAAAGTCAGAGAGGCATTACTGAAGAACGGTTCTTCTGTTGAAAGTTGTAAACAGAGTAATAAGGAAGTACAGATTGACGTGAGAATCATTTTCAAACCGTATCCAAGAATTCATAGTTTTTTTTTTTAAGTTAACGAGAGGATTATTTCCCTAAAATGTTTCATACTATTTCTTTGTGTAACTGTTTTCCATGTGAGCGAGATTATAAAGGTTCAACCTTTGAAACATGAAACTAGAGCTTAGGAAACAAAGTCCTCTGTCCAACTACATGCTCGGGAATATAAAACGCCAGTAGATAACCAACACTTAAAGATTATGAGACGTAATTCGAATGAGGAAACACATTGGTTCAAGGATTCTTTACATGTTAAACTACTTCAACTAAACCTTAGCATGAATCATTATAGTTTGTTACTAAAAATGTGTGTCATTATAGTTAAATTATGAAAGCAATTGGTCCACCCAAGTGTCAAGGCTGCTAAAGCTGTTTGGAAAAGCAAATGTTATGTCAGCTAAAGCTAACTGGACAGTCCAAATTCTTATTTTGGCTGAAACGATGACCTATTAGATACCCTTTCAATTGAGCGTCATTATAAGATCCTGATTGATACTCCTTTGTATTTAAAGATACTACTTTACCGTGAACCTTCTAACCTAAAAAGGTAAAATATTAATAATGTGTGACCTAAATTCGAAGTACCAGGCCTTAAGATCAAACTAACAATAACAGGTGACCTAAATTTCAAATATCAGGCATTAACAGCAGACTAACAATCAGACCAAACTCAAGTAACAAATCAAAGAATGTAGAAAACTTAAACGAGAATATGTTAAAAAGTAGATGTTTAAAAATAAAAATACTGCATAATATCTTATCAACAAACAGTACCAAGAAAATTGGGGAAAAAATATGTATCAGTAATCAATGATTATAATCCGAAACATTCTGGGTAAAAATAAAATCAGTACATGCATCTAAGCATGTACATTCTCTTCATCATTTCTATTGTAAACATAATGTTACGCAAATCAGATTAACTTGTTAGTTCTAAGTCGTTGATTAAAGTTGATGACATGTTGATCTACATTAACCTCTGGTGGTTCGCTCACAAACTATCTGTGTGATCCTCCTACCAACACTTCGTGGAACTAGGATCCTTAGCAACGTGCCCTCTGGCGCTACTTCGTGGAACTATGGCTCAAAGACAGACGCGCCCTCTAGTGCCACTTTGTGGAAGTCATCATCTCTGGTGCATATTACCTTACCCGCTGGTATTGGTATAACCAAAGACAGACGCTCCCTCTAGTGCCACTTTGTGAAAGTCATCGTCTCTGGTGCATATTACCTTACCCGCAGGTATTGGTATAACTTGTATATTATGTAATAATTATGTAACCCTCAGGCGCATCCTTCCATCTCTATTTACCTGGGGCAGTGAACTCTAACTACTGTGGTGCTCCAAATGTAGAGGAACTTTCAATACGTAAAAAAATCAAAAATCACTTGTAGTCTTCAGTAAGATATTTGGTAGAGCAACCAAAGGAACTAGCCCACTTCAAGTCAAATTCTATAATGATATAATCAAAAACCACAAAAACAGCTATATTGTATGATAGTACATTCGACACTATTACTAACATATTACTGACATTACTAATAAAGGTATTCCTATTTTAACATATTACAAGCCCTAAACACACCACCTGTGAAAACCAAAATATCAGAATATAAAACTCTTGTACGATCCACTATAGAATATCGATGTATAGCCTTTATAATTACTTTCGACCATAATAACCTTTAAATTAAGAAAATTGAAACCAAGCCCTCAGAATTATAACTATCTCGATACATCGACATTAAAGAACCCCATAAATGATCAAAAATTCAATACCTTAAAGATAGGTTTTACAAACTAAGCAAATATTACTTTAAAAAGCAAATAACAGAAATTTACTATGAGTTATGTGCTAGAAATATACAGAAATAGTGCAATAATAAACGTGTTTCGAAGTAGAAAGTGATAATTACCATCTTGGTGTGATTGACTTTTCAAGAAGCATGAAAACACCTCTTTCAAAGCGGTATCCTTTTGGGATGCCAGCAACCCAAATTTACTTTGTGGATAGAGATGCCATCCAAGTGAAGTACTACTCACTGCTTGGATTTTATTTCTTCACCAATATCTCGGACAACTTGTGATAAGCAACAAATCTACTCCAGCTAATAAGAACACATTCAAGAAAACCCCAACACCAACAGAATATACCAACCCAAACCAAAGATACCCCATTCCACAGAGCCTTGAAAATGGCCTATAGCCCACAGTATAAATCATGCCAACACCTTCCTTAGAGAATTTATTGCATGGTATGACTTTAAAAGGATAAGAACTTAATTCAGTAAAATAAGACAGAAATTATACATAAATATTGTTATGTTTTGTCCAGTTATTAGCATAGTGTTACATACGTAAAATATCCAAAAGAAGCAAACAAGAAAATAACTACAGACTTTCACATATCAAAAATCTTCCTTGTGCAGTACTGAGCTTATTTCTTGTGTTAGTTACACTGAACAATGCTTCTGCCTCATTTGGGCATTTCTAGACAAGGATGCATTACGAAAATGGCGATCTAGTCCCACTATTCAACTTAAACAGCCATAAGTTGGCGATGGGTGCTGTTGACTAACTGCTTTCTCTCTAGTCTATCTGTTAAAAAATGAGGAATGGATAGGATAGACAACTCTTGAGTAGCTTTACACAAATTTCTGAGACAAACACACACACAAATGTTTAAACAAATTATGTTGTTGAAGATTTATTTTCGGATCTTTTATCTTTCTTTCTCTGGTAATAATACTGTGTTTGAGTTTAGAAATGCATGGAACTTAAACTTTTCCTACTTTCGCTTGGGACAACTAATAATTTTGGAAGTGCCTACACTGTGAGAAAGACGTGATATTTTTTATGTAACAATTTTATACTCTTTCAGTGTATAACATAATATGATCAGAATATCCAAACTAAATTTCCAGGATCCATAGTCTATTTTTGCAGTCTAGAATCGCTGTCCAAAATACTGTGTACACTCATTTTTTGATACATATACACAGCGTGGTC